TGCTTGCTGCACTGCAAAGGGGCAGCCCTCACCCCTCATGAGCACCCTCCTCTGGCCGAGTGCACATGCTTGCACTCTCTTGTTTGTCAGCTGAAAGCCTTCTTTGGCAGTTTAGCCCTCCTGCTAAGTCACACCCTATGTGTATCAAACCCCCTTCTGGGGTAGACATCTAACAGGGGCCCATCTTGGTACCTTCTGTTAGCATACTTCTTAGTCTGTTTCCCCACTCAGAGAGAGTTGTACCTCGAGGGCTTCCCCTCCTGGAAACAACGTCCTCACCTTTGGCTCAGGACTTTACACATCTAGCAGGGCCTATCATAGTCCATCTTCAATAGTGCTCCACACAGAGCTGCCCGAGGTGCTGCTGCTCTCTCAGACAGCCATTACCTGGTGTACACACCTTCAGGGCTCCTGAGACACTGACTGATGTTCTGGTCTCCAGCTCCTTTGATAGGCCTCTCCCCTTAGCCACTCTAGCCGCCTGGAGGACTTCTCTATGGCCTTTTTCTGGGATGGGGTGTGAATGGGCCACATGGCCTTCTTCAGTAAGGGACTTTAGGATCTGGTGCACCCATCACACCCTCTAAGTCTCATATTTACGCCCTGGCAATTTGGGAGTTTTCATATGCCATGTCTATATATCCATTGAACATAAACAATGTAACCCATAAAGATTTTAATTCCTTTAAATAAATACATGATCATTTATTGTAATTCTCTGAGTTAACTTTACTTGTTTCCATACATTATCATCAGCATGCACAATATTAGTTATTTATTTATTTCTGATCTCTACTACATATAACTCAGGCAATAAAAAAGGTGACTGAACTGTTTTTAGATGAGCATGAAGAAAATTATTTGCTGCTGATTTAGTATTGTTGTCTATTTGATATAGAGCTTTGTACCAATTGCACTACAGATTATGTATGACATGTCACCATGCTGAACTGATGACAGCTGTAATTGTATTCAATCACATTCATTATAAACCTGCTGTGCTATCATTTACAGTGACATAAATCTGGAGTAACTCTACTGATTTACTGGAATTACTCTGAACTTGCATCAATGTAACAGTGCAGAAATTGATCCTAAAGATCAGTCTTTCAGAGTGTCAGCATCGTCTGTGAACCACTCAATTGTGGGACAAAAGTTTCTTTGGGATTAGGGGCATGTTCGCTTACGTTTTTCTTTTTAAGAATTACATCAGACTGAACAGCAGATACCTTTTTAAGGTGACTGGCATGAAGCATATTGTTCTTTTCCGTTTTAATTCTGATTTCTGGATTTTCAGTGAGTGGCTCTGACTCTGTCTACAATTAAAAATTAAAGCAACAAATAATTATTAAAAACCATTTAAAACTAATTTAGGTCTCCAGAAGATAGATAAAAACACTAGTTTTTCTGTTTTCAGTCTGGTTCAAATCCAGCCTGAGCTATAAGTAAATTATATCTTCACTAATTTATTATGTTGTCTGTCAGGGGAAACAAAAATGTTAGGGTACTGGAGAATACTAAGAGTACTAAGAGAACTAAAATAATATTGTAGTATCATAAGAAGATTAACCTCCCAATATTATTCCCATAAACATTACTGTATTGTAAACGGACCGGGCAGAGACACTACTCATGGGAAGGTAGGAAGTGTGAAATATCTCATTTGGAATCCTACGTACACAGTCCCATGGAAAACAGGGAGAGGAGTAAGAAGAAGCAGACAGAGATGATAGTGGCAAGGAGAGAAATGGGTAGTTCGGACTAGGGTGCCTATTCTGAACTACCGGTACACCTCATTTCACGAGGAGTAACGGTAGTTCGGAATAGGAACCTAGTCCGAACTACCTAGTTCGAGCCCCGTGTAGCCGCGCTGCACGGGGTTCGAAGCAGCGGGGATTTAAAAATGGTGGCTCTCCGCTTATGCAAATGAAGCCCGGGAAATTCAAATCCCGGGCTTCATTTGCAAGTGCGGTATGCCTACATTACCCTCCTAGTTCGAACTAGGAGGGTAGTGTAGACATACCCTAGCTGTGTCTAAGGCTGTCAGTTTTTCCAGAAAATCAGCTGCTTTTCCGGAAAAACTTGCCAGCTGTCTACACTGGCCGCTTGAATTTCC